GGTAACACTTGTCTTAATTTCTTTTCGTTACAGTATCATAAATGTGAAAAATTAAATCATAGAATACTTAAATATCGAAAAAGGGTACTTACTTTTACCAATAGACAATTACGGAAAGGTTCGGTACCGACTGTTGACACCGACTCTGACAGGTAAAATTATGGGGGTCGTCTCAAAATAATAAAAGGTACTAAATAATTATCTTTCCAATGTAAAATTTGCAAATAACAGTTAAATAAGATTTTACACAAGAATTTATTTAATCAAATAACGTTTGTCTTCTGTTTACAAATCCTGCACAAGTCTCCATAAGTTTTTGTCTTGAGTGCCTCCACAAAGTACCCATCGCTTAATAATTTTTAGGTCACACATGGCATGTTCGACAAAAATTCTATATTCTGCAATGATTCTATTAAATTTTCGACCCTTGCGTTTCTGGTGATCAGGTTTTCTGTTAATTTGCTGTCGCGTAAATGGCGTAATTACGGGATGCCGATTTGGATAGATTTTGTCAATCTAAGGGTCCGGAGGAGGTCGAATAATTGAAAGAATGATCTGAATCAAGTGTTGTAGAAACTCCGTTGAATCAGGAGGGTGAAGATGTAAAACTGGAAAAATCTCAAGAAACATTGTTATCTACCACATAATTATAGAAATTGACTTTCGAATAGGTAAGCATACATGTACATGCACATGCCGTTTGAAACAAAACTCTGGAAAAATCTCTTGTCTTATTTCCGATGACGGGGGTCGGGCACACTGGTCCCCTTCTTAATCCGCCTCTGCCCCTTTTTCCGTAAATTTATATTTGAAAATCGATTTGAGCTATTTGAAATATTGAAATGCAATTTTGCTTTGTAATTTTGGATGTCTACCTATAAAAGATTGTATATGCGAGCTTAACTATTTTTTTATAGAGAAGGAATGAAAATCGAGCGCACCCTTTTTCGTTAAACTATAAATTAACTTTAGTTCCACGTGTTATCGACATATATCGTCAACATGGAAGACCGTGTTTCTGGTAAAAAGTCATTTTTTTGTTATTTAGATAAAGGAAACATACTAAATATCTTTACCACATATATTTTATCTTGTATGAGCTTGACGACATATCCGATTGAAATGTACTGTTACGAAAAACTCTGGATAATGTAAGACAAGTTTGATTCTTATTGTCGTTGGAGCGATAGTATGCTCCGTTTATGGACTCATTATGAATCAAGTGCGCCGTTAAATTAACTTTTGAGACGACCCCTGTAATGTTTGCTGTCAGAGTCGGAGTCAACAGTCGGAACCGAGACTTTCCGTAAATCTCTAGTACCAACAATAGCCCACATTACAAGAGGTGGTAAGGGACACGTGAAAAATGTGTCTTAAATCTGACTGTTAAAGGTCTGTAACTCTGGGACAACAAACCAAGAAATTCTTAAAATCGAGAAGGACCTTTCTTTCAAATATTTGTAGATGAATCGCATTGTCTCTTCACTTGTGCATTGTATTATAATGTAAGACAACATTTCCTCGAACATCTTTTCAAACAATTACCAAATTGAAGATCCCTAAGCGTACAAAATCTCTTAATGTGGACAATGTCAAATATCGATATTTCATTTATTTCAACATTTTGTAAATAATGGAGACACTTAATTCACTAATAATGATTCAGTAACTTGCTTATAATTAAACACAGGATTTAACAAACGATTTTTTTAAAAAGAATGTAGATATAAGTTAATAGGTGTATTTTTAATATACTGCGGATTCGTTTATTTTTGCTGGGATTAATTTTCGTTGATTGAGGAAAACTTACATTTTCGTGGATATTTGTTTTTGTGGTTTTGCCTTTCTCTGCATATAAAGCCAATATCAAATTTGTAATTCGCTGAACATTTGAACGTTCTTCTGTACCTACGAAACCCACGAAAATTGGTATCAGACAAAGAAAAATAATGATTGACTGACAACAATCGACAGTTACTCCAGTATGATATTTATTTTCGTATAAAATGCAACAGCTATGACTGCACGTTCTATCCGTGACAATGTTACAGAATGCAAAGAAAACATACGAAAATAATTGAAACAAATCTTTACTTTATGGTTGCAGCATACAATTGTAATACTAAAAATCGAGTGCTTCCTTTTTATAATTATATTGGGCTGTAAAAGCATTGATCGTGCGAATATTTTTAGAATGAAACGTAAGCGCTTCATACAACATGTATTCGGTCAACGCGTTTGCATCTCAATTAGATTATAAAAACACGCATACACTTCTTAAATATTGTTTTTCTTTGTAAAATGTTAAGAAATATAAGATTTATCTCTCTGCATATTCTACATCGCGTTATGATCTAGAAATTTAATTGACATAAAGGTGTTTGAGACATACAAGAAAAACAACTTTAAATTTTAACAGACTTCTGTGATCAGTTCCAAAGACTGTTGGAAAAGGAGCAAATAATTATCATATGTTCTACAGACGTGGGGTTTAATATTTTATCTAATTTTTCTGTTGTTTTGTGAGCAAATCATTTCTCAGTAAAGGACCTAAATATCGTCCCCCATCAATTATTAATTGGAATGAGTGTCGTAACATCATCCACGACTCTCTCCATACTTACTGCTCTAAATGGATAAAACGAGAAAAAGCTGACAAGAAATCATTAGATTCTTTTTTTAATTTTATGTAATGAACATAGTTGATATACGTATTCAACATTTTAAAGATCATTTTACTCCTAACAACAAACATAATAGCCCAATTTCCCGTATCAAACATAAGCTAAAAGAACTCGCCAAGGAATATATTTTTGTCCCGGCTAATAAGGCTGCTAACAATATTATTATTGTTTGACCTAAATTTTATATTGATGTTCTACAAAAGGAAATCACGAATTCACCAACATTCCAACTGACTCCATTTTCGGAAAATGACATCTGTAACAAACATCAACTTTTAGCTACCGCTTTACAAGCAGAACCAAATACAATGAAAGTTCCAACTATGTACTGGCTTCCAAAGCTGCACAAAACTACTTACAAATATAGATTTATTTCGTCTTCAAGCCATTGTTCCACTACAAAACTATCTATTCTACTTACTAGTACACTTGGTACAATCAAAAACCTGGTAATAAATTGTTCAAATAAGGCCTTTGAAAAAAGTGGAATTAATTACTTTAGGCGTGTCAAAAATTCGTTTGAAGTACTTGATAAATTGCATGCTTATATTGGTGATTTCGAATCTGTTCAAAGTTTTGATTTTTCTACCCTATTTACCACGTTGCCTCATAATTTTATTAAGAAAAAATTCACACACCTGATTAAATGGGCATTTAAAAAGTCGGAATGCGAATATATATGTTCAAACTCTTTTAGGTCATTTTTTAGTCACAACAAACAAAAGAACTATGTCAATTGGACCTGCTTTGATACTATAACCGCCCTTGAATTTTTACTAGATAACAGTTTTGTTCGCTATGAAGATTCCGTATATCGTCAGGTTATCGGAATTCCCATGGGGACTTACTGTGCACCACTCATTGCGGACCTGTTTCTGTATTGTTATGAGTTAAAATTTATGACTAAAATCAGCAAAGACCCATCGAAACAACATCTGATACAAAAATTTAATAACACTTTTAGATATTTAGATGATATATTGGCTCTCAATAATGACGACTTCAGTATGTACACTAAAGAGATTTATCCTGCCTAACTGACTTTAAATAAAGCTAATACTAACAATGAACACTGCCCGTTCCTGGATCTTGATATCTTTATCTTTAACGGGAAGCTTAATACCAAAATTAATGATAAAAGAGATGATTTTTCATTTCCTATTGTTAATTATCCATTTTTAGATGGTGAGGTTCCCTTGTCGCCTCTTTTGGTGTTTATATATCTCAACTTGTTCGATTTGCTCGTGTATGTAACAGCGTATTTGATTTCAACGAAAGAAATCTCTGTATTATTGAAAAATTATTATACCAGGGTTTTCGATATCACAAACTAGTCAAAACATTTACTAAATTTTATCATCGGTACAAGGACATCATTCGTAAATATAAATCAACATGCAGACATCTTATACGTTCAGGTATTTCACATCCAATATTTTATGATAATATTCTTTACAAAGCACAACTCTCGGCATTCACCTCAAAAGCTAACCAAACCTTTAAACAGACTTATTCGGAAAGGATATAGTTACGATACTGTTGTCAGGTCATTAAGGATTGCATATTTTGGTATTAATATTGATTCATTGTTGGCATGATACGGGTTATGTTCTTCTCATATATTTTATGATTGTATGATACTAAACCCCTAACGGGAGGGATTGTACTTGATTTTCATATGATGAAGACATAATCTTTCAATCAGTTTAATTGAGGTCTGGAGCTGGCATGTCAGTAACTGCTAGTAGTCCTTTATTAATTTATGTATCATTGTCATTTTGCTTAGTTTCTTTTGTTACCTATTCTGACATCGGACTCGGACTTCTTTTAAACTGGGTTTAACTGTGCGTATTGCTATGTGTGTCTTTATTCTACATTGGCTAGAGGTATAGGGGAGGGTTGAGATCTCACAAAACATGTTTAACCCCGTCGCATTTTTGCGCCTGTCCCAAGTCAGGAGCCTCTGGCCTTTGTTAGTCTTGTATGTTTTTTTAATTTTAGTTCATTTATATGTTTTGGAGTTTAGTGTGACGTCCATTTTCACTGAACTAGTACACAATTTTATTTAGGGGCCAGCTGAGGACCACCTCCGGGTGCGGGATTTTCTCGCTGCGTTGAAGACCCATTGGTGGCCTTCGGCTGTTGTCTGCTCTTTGGTCGGATTGTTGTCTCTTTGACATATTCCACATTTCCATTCTCAATTTTAAAATAAAGTTGTTAGTATCTAGAATATTAATAATTTTTTCTGAGGTTGATTTTAATGTGAGCATGTTAATGTCCTGCTTTTTACAAAATAATAATAAAAGACTAATGAACTTATAGTACAATTGCTTTAATATCAATTTCTTCATTCAGCTCAAATTACAGCCATTACATGGTCAAGTGCATAATAGTCAAATAGTTTTTTCGAGTACGTCATGATTTCATGGTTAAGGGAGTGACGCATACCATTTATTTTTCAAAAATGGCTTGCTAAAGCTCGACTTTTTGTTCTCTTCAAAATGCGAACGCAGTGACTCCTTAGAATCAACCCTGTTTTCACACACCACTCTTGACAGCTTATCCTTATTCCTCCTTGGTCCAGGAGGACTGTATATTTCATTCCAGGCACGATTCTGACACGGCTCCCAGTCAGGAATATCATTATTAGAGCGTGGTTTACCCAAACCCTTGGAAACTTCGATTGAACGATTAAAACAAAGCTGAAAATATAATTTTGTAGCTTGAATCGATTCTGTGTTTTTCTTACTGCACTGTACACAGTCGTCTCCAATGTTTTTATCAATTTCTTCTTTAAGACATGCTTTCAGTTGATTTTTTGATAATTCTGTAAACAAGCCGGTGGCTTTTGATTTAGAAATACACTGGTATGTTAAATAATTTATGAAATATGTTGTGATTGCAGCTCTATTCTTTTGGTGACTTGCGAAACACTTTGATGGTTGGACGTCAGATATACAATCATATGTTTCCCTTTGAAATGTTCTTTTTATACCATCGATGCTGCTTGGAGGGTTAACTTTTAATGTATGGGCATATGAACCATCAGGCATACGCATAAATGCATTAATTCCTCCGTTCCTCATAAAATCAAACGAACTCTTTTCGTCAGTGTTCTTAAAAGTGGTCGAATAAGCTACAAGCATGATAAAATTATTTATTTTTCCTTTGGCATAGTTCATCAGCTCTTCTGAGCACGAGTAGCCCAAGTTTGGCACCCCCGCACAGGGTATGTAATGAGAATAAATCAATATAATTGGATATTTATATTTTGTCATTCGGTTGTTTTTGAAGTCATTCATCTATGTATTAATCTCACCAGTGTAAAGAGCATTTACTTCACCGTGTAGCTCCCGGCTGGGATTGAAATCTTTTTTTCCGTGGTCACGTTTGTTCAGAAGAAAACGAAGCCTCAGTTTTTTATTAAAGTTCTTCGGAAACGATCTTCCCCAATTTTTGGCTTGGTCAATTTCGTCATCGGACACAATTGTTATAAGAAGATGTTGATTAATTTTATTGTCGACTTTATCTCTTTTAGCTTCCCCATACCTACGCATCACTTCAAAGATAGGTGTCATAACTTCTGGTGTAAAATATTTAACAGGTACTGGAGACTGCTTTTTGGCTTCTGTGCTACTATTCTTGCCTCCTGCATATAGCAAGACAGTTACAATTAAAACGAATTTCCAATTGTAATCCATACTTGCTTTATAAGCGGCGATTTTTAAACTGAAATATTGAAATACTTGTCTTCATAGTTTTATACAAGAACTCTTAAACAGTGTGAACGTTACTCTTATTTGTACATTAATTTTAAAAATACTATTAAAAGCACAATCCCTGATTATAATTTTTTCAACACATTTCTAATGATGAGCTTGAAATGTCAATGTCATTTTCATATACTTGAAAATTTTAAAAATCAAACAGTTTTCATTTACAAATTTGTTTTCGATAACATTGTATTTCCCTGGCAATTTTCATTTTCTTACAATCTATGTATTGAGTACTTAAGGTGGTACCTAACACTACAGGGAGATAACTCTGTAAAAATCAGCTAAACGTTTTAATTACGTAGTTTTGTTAAGGAAATATTAAGCTTCTCAATGATCAAAATTAGTGTTTGTCAAACTGCTATATAACCAATGAAATTTTTCTGATAAAGTGGTTGTTTCAAATTTTTTGAAATTTTTATATTTTTGTCAAAGGGTCAAAGTAAACATTTTGTCAAAATTTTATGAAAATTAAACGAGCCAAACTAATATTAGTCAAGGTGTTGGGTACCACCTTAAGTAGAAAATTTTTTTTTTTTTAAATTGCAAATACATAGACTGAAAAACTCGCATACGCCACATATCTGAATATCATTTCATTTACTGAAGAAACAATAAAAACAAATACATTTAAGTTGGTAACAAACATATCTGGATCGTTTTCATAAAATTTTGACAAAATATTTACTTTGACCCTTTGACAAAAATATAAAAATTTCAAAACACTTGAACCACACACTCAGTCGGAAAACTTTTATTGAATACATGACAGTTTGACAAACACTAATTTTGTTCAACGAGAAGTATTATATTTCCTTAGCAAATAATGTGATCAAAACTTTCAGCTGATTTTTACAGAGTTATGTACCACCTTAAATAAGGACTTTTTGATCGCCTTATTTGTTCGTGACGACATATTAGGAAAGTCAGTGGAAAGCAAGAAAATATGACATCATAATTGAATTTTGACAAATTAATAACTGATTTAAAAAGTACCATAGTATATAGTTTTTCATATTGTTATTCTTTTTATTAATTTGCTTCTTGTATCTGAGAACTTCGTCGATAAAATATTTATTGTTCATCAAGTAAATGTACTAAACCTTATGTTAAAAATTGGCTATGTTTGAACCGTTATAGATTTTCAAACTCTTTAAAGTTAAACCTATGATTGATTGATTGATTGATTGATTGATTGATTGATTGATTGATTGATTGATTGATTGATTGTTTGATTGATTGATTGATTGATTGATTCTTTGGTGCAAATATATGTAGCATAAAAGTTAAATGTATTTTACTTTCAAAGCGTATGTATTTGACACTTTGACCTCGAGTATCAAAAACCGGATGTTTGTTTTTACAAGTTATGTATCATTGTTGTACAGAATTTCAGCCTTTTGATTCTGATTTAGGTTACGGTATACTTCCTGTACATTGTCTCTTTTTAAATACATACATCAATTTCAAAATTACAGTTTTTTACTATCATGAAGCAACTGATTTACGATTCAGACATATGATAAATATGTAAATAAGTGTAAAAATGGGTCTGGAAGTCTTAAGGGAGCTACCATTTGATTTTTATGGGGGGGGGGGGGGTGGGCTAGGATGAAAAATTTTGTCCTGCCTATTTATTTTTCCCTTTATCGGTCCTGTCTTTTTATTTTTCACTCTATTTTTTTTTAGTTAATCCTGACTTTTTTTTTACATAAATTGTCATCCTGCCTTTTTTTTTTGCAAATAGTCTCATCCTGCCTTTTTTTTTTACTCAAAACTCCTGTCCTGCCTATTTTATCCCCCCACCTTAAAAATCAAAAGGTAGCTCCCTAAAGCTATATAAGTTTTACCAACGAAAACAGCATCCTATACAAAGTACTTCCGATGAAATTACTGGTGATTCAAACGAAATGCGAACGATACCAAATGAATATTCAAACTCACAAGTCAAAAACAAACTGTCAATGATATCACAAAAAACAACGATAAGACAAACAGCAGTACATAAAAAACAATATAGAAAACTAAAGACTGAGTGATTTGATCATAATGATAAAATTGGCACAAATCGAAGCCATGATAGATTTTCCTCCTTGCAATCCAAATTTTTCGTCCCTCATACTGGTTAAACCCCTTTGCAAAACTTACAATTTTTTTTTTATTTATTCTGGTCCTGAATGTACATAAGTGTTTCTCGTTTCTCGTTTTAATATATAGATTAGACCTTTGGTTTTCCTGTTTGAATGGTATTACACTTGTTATTAATAGGGCCCTTTATAGCTTGCTGTTTGGTCTGAGCCAAGGCTCCGTGTTGAAGACCGTACTTTGACCTATAATGGTTTACTTATACTAATTGTGGCTTAGATGGAGAGTTGTCTCATTGGTACTCATACCACGTCTTCTTATATCTATAAATATTTTTGTCTGGATTTAAAGCAAACAGCAATCAATCAATCAATCCATTGACCTCCATGACCATTTGAAACGGTCTATCTCTTTTTAAAAACAAATAAATATAAATACTACAAAACTACTTTAGTTACTTTTAAGACGACAAATATATTGAATACTTATTAAAACAAAACTAATATTAATGCCATACTTACTCAATCGCTTCTAAACAACTTCCTCCTAGATTGTGAATTCTGTCAATAAAATTATGAGTCCCTTTTGTTAAACTTTTTATTTAATACGAAACTACTTGCCATAAGTGTTTCCCATGCTAAATATAGATATCTCAATCAGGTAACGGTGAGGTTTTAAATCTAGAAAAACACTAATGTATTTTTACCTCGTGATACATGTATGAAAGTGTGTAGCTCCCATTAAATAGAAGTGACATTCCTTATATTGTAGATATTTGTATATTTATTGGATTGAATTGTATATTAATTATATATTTACAACTTTATAAAGTTGTAGCATATATCAAATGATACATTAACAATTTTTTTCTAATCTTAGTTATTAACAATTATTATACATGTATTAGGGGGTGGGCTAGGATGAAAAATTGTGTCCTGCATTTTTTTTTTATTTGTAGTCTCGGTCCTGCCTTTTTATTTTTCACTTTATTCGGTCCTGCCTTTTTTTTATTAGTTTATCCTGACTTTTTATACATAATTTGTCATCCTGTCTTTTTTTTTGCCAAGTTGCTCATCCTGCCTTATTTTTTACTCAAAACTTCTGTCCTGCCTTTTTTCAAATTTCATCCTAGCCCCCACCCCCACTGCCCCCCCCCCTAAATATCAAATGGTAGCTCCCTTATATGTGTTGCCCTTGTCCGTCCGTGCGTACGTACACATATTGGTTTCCGTTCTCTTAGTTTGCCTTATAAACCAAATGTTATTAAAGTGATACACAATGCTTATTACCGAAAAAAAACACAGATCAAGATCGAATTTGGGTGGCGTCACTTTTACCGTTCTTGGGTTATGTCTCTTTATAACGTTATATGTCAGCGGGTGCATAATCTGTATCCCATGGACACATTCTCAATCATTCTGTTTTGTGTGCAAATTGGAAAGTGTGTGTACTATGACTCCTCGATAATAAAATGCCGTAGACAAGAAACCATGTCAAATTTGTATCAAATGATGCTGACGTACTAGAAATTGATCCAAAGAAATTAATCTATTGTAAATGAAATAAACCTGCATCCATGAAAACAAATAACAAAATCTGTATTGCATACAGTTACTTCATTAACGTTTTATAGGAATCCAAATTAAAAAAAAATATTTTGTATGAGTGTTAATCAGTTAGGCAATTATCAACCAGAGACCAAGGACGTGGACGTAATCAACTGTATGTTGGTGCACGGCCCTTTGCAATGACGAAAACTTATACCGTACAGTAAATTTTATAAGATCATGTCATGATAAAATGTGAAATAATTCAAAGAGAAAATCTGAATAATGATGTGTTTTGCACGTACAGTCGGAAGGCCGTACATGTTAAACTCCTCCACATTCTTTAAATGCATGTCCTATCTTAAGAACTTACAGTTCAGTGACAGTGGTTGTCGTTGTTTCGTGTCTGTCGTATTAGTTTTTTTCTTTCATAGTTTTAGCATAAATCAGACTGTGGGTTTTCTGATTTGAGATGTTTCTCATTTTGTCAAGCCGTCAACTTTTATAGCTTCCCTACGGTTTATGTTTTGCTCATCGTAGAAGGCCACACGGTGGTTCATATTTGAATACACCTACGTACTCTGGTCTCTGGATAATAGTTGTCTCATTGGCAATCTTACCACATCTCCTAATTTAGCATATCAAACATTTTGACGCGGCTATGAATCTCAAGTTAAATAAAGGGTGCACGGTTTTCATGACAGTGGAACTCATACTGATAATATTACAAATACTAAGCTGAACTAGGAGCGGCAGATAGCCCGTTGTCTATTTAGAGTAAGTGTTGCAAGAAAAAAAAAACATGTAATCAATAGCAAAATTGACTTGTAGTAAAACCTGTAAGAGTCAGAGCATTTGGCTGGTAGCAATTGTCATAATTACTTTTGGTTACTGTATCATAAGCAAAATTATAAAATATCTAAAAATCGAAAGGGTATTCACTTTTACCAATACCAACAATAGTATTAAGTTTTAGGTTAATTGATCCAAGCCCACTTTACAAGAACTGATAAAGGACATGTGAAAAATGTGTCTTAAATCTGACTGTTAAAGCCCCGCAACACTGGAACAACAAACCAAGAAATTCGTAAAATCGAGAGGGAGCTTTCTTTAACCGATTCAAATATGTGTAGATCAAGCAATGTCTCTTCATTGTATGATAATGTAAGAGAAAAATTCCTCGAACACCTTTTTAGAAAAAAAAACTTGAGTTTAAGATCCCTTAGCCAAGAAAAACTCTTAAAGGGAAACTTCGCAAAAAAATAAAAAAATGATATTATGTCCATTCTGTATAAAAAAGCACAAATTCATAAATATTAAAGTTTTATTCTGCTAGATAAGAGATCACCATCGATTTTAAATTTAGAGTATCAATTCTCTGCGTGCGGCCATTTTGACATCTTCTCGGTTTAGAAACCCCGATGTATCTATAAACCACAAAGGACCAAAACCAGCAGTAACCTAACGTAGTCGCATTTATCCGACTAACTAACTTGATACGGAAAATGTAATTATTTTTTAAAATAACTATGGTCTGTCGTTTTAAAACTGGTTTTTTTTTTTACGAAGTTTTTGAAACAAGAAATTTATATGGGAATTAGTTAAAAAGTCAAAGTTCAAAGTCATAAATAAGTGTTCCGTGTAAAATCGTTTTCGAAATCTAATTTGTTCATAATTCTTTTATGTAATAAACTTATTTAAATAAATTCGGACCTTCTCTTATCTGATCACCAGCATGGCTAAAGGAATTATTCCCTGAGGTATTGTGAGGTGACACGTCCAGGTATTCAAGCGATTTCCTGTCGGGTTTAAAAACTCTTATTACACAATTACATAAAGCATGTTCATGCATCGCTTCACTTCTGAGGGTATTGATTAGTGTACACGGCCGATAACTTGTAACTTTCCATTTTAAAACTATCAGGTGTAATATACATCTTTGTCTTGCGTCTCCGATAGTGATATACTAGTCATTACTAAACTCATACGCTTGTTTATAAATAACATTTCTAGTGTAAAGAATGATATTTATGAAAATCTAAATAATTCCAAAAAAAGATTTGATAAAATAAAAATCTATTTACATATTTTTCCAAGGGTAAATTGGGGAAAATGTAAGTATATACTCGTTGTCAATAATGATGGACATTTTGAAACATGAAAAACTATTGATTTAAAAAATACGCACTTGTCGATCATTGGTTTATACGCCTAGATAGAAAGTTACGGAACTATAGATAGTCGCAATTTAAAATTGTATATTGAATATAAGAAAGAACATCTAGAACCAATTTGATTTAAATACAGGTCGATATCTAACTTGCTTTGGTTCATCGAAGTTATGGACATAGTAAAATCACAGATTTATATTTCAATTAGATTGTTCTCGAACAGTTGAAGAAATTCGTCATCATCACAATTGTTGGGTATAATCAGAGACATATAATACAATTGTATTATATGTCTCTGGTATAATGTATATTAATGTGAACATGGTTCTAATAGAACCTTATGCCAATTTTCCTGTTCCGACATGCATGTAATATATATGCCACTGGACGTACACTAATGATCCCCAAAAGTTTATTTGAAGAAATAAAGAAACTTCACTCCGGATAGACTGAAAGTAGTTGTATTAACGTCTGATCAGCTTGAGGGTTGATTAATTTATTACGTTAGCTTGTGGAGGAATAAACCATTCCCACTATTGCAGATCATTGCACTTATGCATAAAATATTAAATAAGAGAAAATATAAATACGAAAAGTCGCATATCTGGTAAAAAAAAAAGTCTCACCAACTATAGGATTTCACGTACAATTGTCATTATGATCGAAATAACGGACAGTCATTAAAATACATGCATGTACGCTTTGATAAAAAGGGGTGCCGCAGTTGCATATTATTCATCATAAATCTATTTCAAGTTTATACTTTCCTGTTATTCTTATCAGTTAACGCAGAGACATGTAACTATACATCTCTAGTTAACGACAATCAACTATATAAATATCTGAATCTGATGTGACTTACCGTTCATCTCTAGTGGTTCATCTCTTTCTTTTTTTTTTCTTCTTTTTTTTTTTTTTATTTGGGCAGGAACATAAACATTGTTAGATATAATGTTCCCAGGTTTGAGGGGGGGGGGGGGGGGGGGGGGGGGGGTTGGAGGTCAAGTCTATCGAAAGTTACAAAATAAGAACGTTGTATTTATGAAATTACAAGAACTTGAGAATTCTGTTCTTGGACGTTGTTTTCTCCTTTCTTTTTTTTTTAGTTCAGTGATTTAAATTGAGAAAAAATCTAGTCAGAATTTAAATCGTTCCGACAATCCCCCACCTAATACTCCTCTAAAATCATGAATGGTCATGCTTCACAATCATCAGAATTTACTTTGCATTGGTACATTCTGTATCGGTAGTGATTAACCTTGACATTTCCGGGTATAACAGAGCTACTTGTATATTACCTGTATGTGGTTAGGTACATCGTCCCATGAGGTCTTACGTATACAGGTTCACATTTATAATGGTTTCTGATATAACAAGGTTTTATGACATTCACACTTCTGCATGTTCTGTATACCAGTTTCTTATCTTATTTTCAGACCGAATGAGGATGTGAATATTTTCCAGGAAAAATATTGAGTATCAAAGTATCAAATTAATTTCGGGATTTTTTTCTTTCTTGGTATTAAATCACAGAAATTTAAAAATAATACTGCTTAGATATAAGAAGATGTGGTATGAGTGCAAATGAGACAACTCTCCATCCAAGTCACAATTTATAAAAGTAAACCATTATAGGTCAAAGTACGGTCTTCAACACGGAGCCTTGGCTCACACCGAACAGCAATTAAGCTATAAAGGGCCCCAACAAATTACTAGTGTAAAACCAGGAGTATTCTTGTCAGTTTAGACAGACATATAATTATATGTATATATGTGTCTGCGGTATAGACATGGTTTATGAATGAATGATAAGTCTTACAAAGGTACAAGATATAAAGCACATTGAACATTGATTCCGCCGGTCTGTCTCCATTCAATAAAGGCAAGTTGACGTTAGATTGATTCTGTAAAAAAATTTTAAACATCGTTGGTCAAATAGCTAAAGTATTTGTTGTGAGATGTAGAATATTTTAATAAGGACATTCCCGATTAGGTAAATGTAGATCGCTTTGGACGGACCAAACTATATTAATGTAACTGATAATTTTCTCTGCACATTTAAATATTCAAGGTTACCGATGATAATTCAAAATAGCACAGTTTTTGGTTTATACGCTCGTTTTCGTGGGCCATTTTTATTTATAAAATTATTTCATTGAAAGTTATTCAGAATTCCGATGTTACAACAAAGTACTCACCCATCTATTTAAAAACTGAGCTAACGCAAAATATAAAAAATATATATAACGGCGATTCAGGTATTTTGCCACCATATTCCTCCCCAAATAATTATTTTTTTCTGTCTCAAACCCACATTTCTCTTTTATCATTTTTTTTTTATGTTTTTCAAACCGGAAAATAATTTTTGTTCTTAATTATTCGATCTCATTCCAATAAGACAAAGTTGACCTTAAATTTCCTGTCAACTGTTTAATTATCTTTCTTCAAATGGCTGAAGTATTTATACGTTGTAAGATTTAAAATATTTTGATAAGGACATTAATTCCTGAATATGTAAATAAAGATCGCTTTGGACGGACCAAATTATATAATTGCAATTGGTAATTATCTATTTCAAATATTCAAGGTTACCGATTCTAATTTAAAATAGTACAATTTTTAGTTCATACACTCGTGTTTAGAATGCCATTATTATTTATTCAATTAAATTAATTCAGTATTTCATTGTTACAATAATATTCAGCAGTCATAATTCATTTTAAACTGAGCTTACGGAAAATATAAAAATATACCACGGCTATCCAGTTATTGTGCCACCATATTACTCCCTCAAAATAATTATATTTCTTTTTTTATTTTCTGTCTCAAACTATCACTCCCGTTTATCATTCATACGAAATGATGTTCACACCTGGAACGGTGAACCGTGACTGCTAAAATTCACTGAGTGAAGATCAAAAGATTAGAAATACAGAATGCAAACCTTTAAATACCCTGAATTTAACCACGCATTTAACAGGTAGTCACTAAGTGTCACAGTACAATACACATTGTATTTACACGGTACTAGCGGAAAATGTTTGCTAGACTGAAGTAAAAGGTGAGAATACAAACATGCATTTTTAATACACTATCAGTTAAATATGTTTGTTGAAAATATCCGTCGGAAAAAAAATTCATAAAAATATTCTATTGTATGATTTACTTTTATTACTATAATGACTATAATCATATCAGAAATCCTTAAAATATAAATCGTACATTTTATTTTTAAAAGTTGCACGGCTGATCACTTTACTTTCTCAATTATTAGTTGGTTAATAGCTACGCCAAAAGTCGTCGATGCGCTTTAAATCGCGTTATTAGATGGTTAACGAACAAGACTTAAATGAGATTAATTCCACTCCCGGCATGCAAAAAGACTTAAACTACGTCACAGAAGTCAGGAAGTTCGAATAAATAAAATTAATAATTCCCAATTTTCTTCTTTATTAGTTTTCATATCCAGATAAAACTTGGTGAATATGTTTTTTATGGTATTATGAACATAATAAGATGATAAGTAAAAAATCGCGAATTTTCCCTTTAATATGGGCAATGTCAAAAAATTATGTTTCATTTATTTTCACATTTTGTAAATATTGGAGACAATCAATTCTCTCAGAAATGTTGATAAAGTAACTTGCTAATAATAAAACACAAGAATTAACAAATACGTTTTAATAAGTATGTAGATATGTAAATATGTGTATTTATATATACATGTCTCATTGTTTTTCTTCCTCCGAACTTATGAATAGATTTGATTACATTGTGTTACTAGGAATTTTATGCGACTGTCATACAAGGGAGAGGTTTAGCTAGCAATAAAACCAGATTTACTTGGATGGAGAGTTGTCTCATTGGCACTCATACCACATCTTCTTATATCTATTCTACATAAGGAAATGCCTGTTCAAAGTCACGAATATGACAGTTGTTTTCATTTGTTTGATGTGTTTAAGGTTTTTATTATGCCATTTGTTAAAGGACTTTCTGTTTATTAAGTTTTTCTCGGAGTTCGGTATTTTTTGTTATTTTACATTTCAAATAATATTTTTTTCATTGTAAAACATAAAAACATTTAGAGTTATTCCTCTTTCTATGGTATCGGTGAACTGACTTCTCTCTCCATTCTTAGTGTTGTGATCAATCGTTACCAATCAGTATGACAATCTGTTGTGTGAAAGGATAAATTAAAGCAGTTATATTGTATGTCTTTTTTTATTGTATGACTTACTTATGATGCATATGCCTGTTTCTGAGCCATGTGATTGGGTTAATAAAACAATTTGAATTTGAATTTGAAAAATATTCAATACAACTTTCAAAAATTAAATCAAAGCATCCTTTAGTTTTTGTACAATATGTGAACAATAGTATACAATAAAACTTCCAGTGTCTACGACGGGCCTATAAAAAAATAGAGATAATTTTGTATAAACGTTAAGCAGACAGTTGTTTATTTATAGGACACTGCACGTGCATACTGGTTTATTAATTACCAGATGTTTATTTGTCTTGCCCTTGATATTAAAAATGCATCTCTTGTTATCATATACATAGAAACATTGTAAAAGAGGTTTGTTTTAACGGAATAAGTGAACTAATATAATTTCACAGTTTTATTCAGTGGTAAGTCGCAGTTTAATGTAGATTTAGAATCATATTGGAAAAATCTGCAACAACGTTACTTGGTGACAAATTATATTCTCTGACATAAAAGATGTTTTGGCATCAACTATGTCATGTTCAATTGTACTTTATATTGCAACTAGTTGTGTTTATTTCCTAAATATAGTAACAAAGCTATATTTTGTGCAATGTCAATTTCATCATGTATTACTTTTTTCACAATCAGAGGTTCATTTAGGGATGAAAATATGTTTCAAACTTGTGTTACAATTAAAATAGCTATCAATGCATTAATTTTTAAAAAGTTGCAGTATAAAAACAATATTAGGTCAATGTCAGAAAAATATAAACTTTATTGTATTCGGTACAAAACTGGTGAAGGGCTCGGTACAACCTCGCCCTTCCCCAGTTTCTCAGCCTGATACAAAAAAGTTTATATTTTTCTGATATTGACCTAATAAGGCTAATATTTTATATATTCAGAAACCTATCTTTATATTAATAAACGTTCAGATCTCTCATGGCAATGATAAATTCTAAAGCAACTAACTAAGTTTGTACGGAAATAATTTCTGCAGGATTTTCCAATTCGCTTTGAATACATTAGGAGCACATATTTTTAAGATTTTTGTCTTTATTATTAATCTTAATAATAGTATCACTAGCAGATCCTGGTATTTTTTTTTTAAGTTTAGTGATTCTAGACCTACAGTTGCTTACTTCGAAATCATTTGGTCCCTGGTGGAAAATTTTCTCATTGGTAATCATGTCACATCTTACTTTTTTATTTTTTTTATTTTGAATAGAAATATAAAATTCACAGGATTTTAGAAAAGGTGTTCTTTAAGAAAGAAAAAAAAATAATGGAAATCCTACTACTGAGAAACAAATTTTTTTCGAGATCAAAGCTGTACACCCCTCTTCCCCCTCCCCGACACCCCCCCCCCCCTCTCCCACCCCCCACTTTCCTAAAAGAAAATGAATGTCGCTTAAATAATTAACTGGTGCATGTCAAATACTGCGCAGTATATAACTAAAACAGTATTTACTTTTAAAAAATAAAAAATAGACAATTGGCATTATAACTCATAACTGTAATAATTAATTCCACCCATAAGGGGATCAAAGGCATTATGCAGGACAAAACATGCAATTTAAAAGAACAATATCATCATAACACTAACATACAAAAATACAAAACACACCACAAATAACCTTCAGGTTTACTGTCCTCGGTTCCATAGACGTCTTTATAAAGGCGCCTGAATATTTCATTTGCATGCTAGTTATTTGGGGGGCTAGAATAAGCGAGATTCGAAAAAAGGCGAAAATTAATATTCCGTCTGAAAAAATATCAGATCTATACATGCTTTTTGTGTATGTTTCTAATTTTTGTACAAAGTTTTAAAGGGCGATACTGCATTTTTGGTTTTCTTTTCTGTTGTTATTTATTTATTTTCTCGGTACAGATACAAGATAAACCATTTCTCCTTAATTATAGTGTTACCCTATAGTACATGTCCTTCGTCGGAATGTCCTTCGTCGGAATGTCCTTCATCAGTAACCGGAAACATGCTGTCGTAAATAACATTATTTATGAATATTTGTTTTGCACATATTATGTAACAATAACTACAAATATCATGATATTAATTTGATTGAAGAAAGAAATAATTGATACAGACAAAGATATTGTTATGAAAATTACATCGTGTAATTATTATGCATTTTTGTGTGATAAATATAGTTGAATAACACTTGTAATGCTTCAACCACTTGCAGTAATTGCATAATCTTGTGCAAAAAAAAATACAAAAACACGTAGTATCTGTATATATTATGCACTGTACGAACGATGCTACTGGAGTGATTTATCAAACTCATACGTACTTTATCCGACATAAGTTGGCACGTAGAGCTAGAAATTCAAAATGTACAGTTGTCCATGTGAAACCAGTAGTTATCATGTTGCGGTAATGGAATGATTTGTTTGATACAAGAAAATACTTAAGGGTGGGGCAGTGAAACATTATAAGGGAACGACTATTTGATTTTCCGAGGACCAGAAGGAATTTTCGTGGTCGAAATATTCATGTTTACCTGTTGCTTATCGTGCTTATTCTATTTTTTATCTTTTTATTCATTTTTTTTTTTTTTTTTGCTTTGTTAAGCCGCACAAAAAAAAAATCGAATCAGTAAACAACTATGTTCTGCATTTTTGGGGGATGATCGTTTTCATCAAGTCTTGGGCAAGATTTTAATGTTTCTTTATAGTTTTTTACATGCCAGCATATTCATTTCCAACCAACCAACCCAACCCAACCCAACCCAACCCCTAAAAAAAATCAAATGATAATCCCTATGCCGTAGAAGAACAGACAACAACAAGCAACAAGACCATCCGAAAATCGACAAGCCTCAATCTGCTACAACAAACTTAAGATTGGGCAACACAAATCCTCTAATCTGGGGTTGAACTCGGATGCTCCGGATGTCAATCCGGTCCTTTTCGACTAGTGCCACCAATATGTGCAGCGGAATATTTTTTTAAATCGCAGAAAAGCTAAACCCCTTCCGATTTTAAATACTCTTATGTTCATCTCATATCATGTTATGGTTTTAAAGATGGAAATATATGTTTAAAGTAGAGATGCATCCCTGATTAATCCACTCTGAATTCACCTTGAACAAAAGATGGAATCAATCAGTAGCTAACATTGAAGCTTCTAAATTTTGAATCAACGTACGATTTTAACGTTGATACTATAAGTTATCTACGTTTATATCCGTAGATATGGATATTATAACACCCTGAAGTATCCAAGTACACCCTGAGGCGCAGCCGAAGGGTGTACAGGGTACTGAAGGGTGTTAAAATATCCATATCTACGGATATGAACGTAGATAACGAATTTATCCCAGGTCTTAGTCTAAATCTGACGATTTTTAGAGAAATTCGACCACAGAGTTAAACGTGAAAGCAAAGTTTTTTTCATTTTTTAAATATCTTTTATTGACATTTGGGAATTTAACATATTTTTAACGAGGTGTAGGGTACTACCTTTGGTAGAACCCTACAGGTAGACAAATATAAGACGTTTTTAAACTAGAGACAGAGAAACTGAAATGGGTCGAATTTGGCGCGCGATGTTGTGAGAGTTACATCATAAACGGTGTGACGTCAACGTGGGTCATTTGCATAGCTAGGTCAGTAGTACCATTCATTGACAATGTGGCTGCATAGTGATGCATTTACTAAAATGAGTGCAAATAATCGATATAATAAGATAAAATCGTTAGTGGATTAAATATTAAATTATACAGACATCATGGAAAATCTACAGAATTCGATATTTCATAAGGAACAACCATGGAACTAAGGAAAATGCGCGTGAAATTCCCCGATGTAATGGGTAGCAACGTCCGGGGATATGGGTTAGCAACACCCAGGGGCTATGGGTTTTGTAACGACGTGCGTTAACCAATCAGAATCCTAGAAATATACTAAGCCGGGGATAAAAAGTTTTAAAAACAAAACAAAAAAACATATTCATTCAACGTCTTAAGGCAACGAATCGTTAATTATACATTGCCTGATGGGAGGGGACCGTGTCACATGCAGGTAAATTATTGTGTAGCCCTTATCCTAATCCTATGCTTAATCTTTACCTCATTTCTACCATATGCCTAAACTAAGTCCTTACCCAAATCATACCCTAGCCCTATACCTTATTCACTGACTTAACCCTGAGCCATATCTGATCCTAGACCTATCCTAACACTAAACTAAATCCTCTAGCCCTATCTTAACCATAAACTTAAGCCGTCTCTAGTCCCATCTTAACCCTTAACTTAAACCCAAGCTCAACATACCCTAACTGTGAACACAAAGATTATTCTAAATTAAACCTTTTCGGAACGGCAGATTCAATGAGAGTGATTACTGTTGAAAAAGACTTTCATTTGAATCCCCCTCTGTTGGTGAAAGAAGCGTAGATATACATACTTGTCTTCGTTTGTAAACAGCATGTATAAAAGGAGATTTGAGGTATATGAGAACGAGACAGCAACCCAATTACACAGATAGCCAAACGACATCAAGAAGCCAACAAACTGTATACCATTATAACATATGTTTATGTAATATGTCAAGCTCTAAATCGGCCCCAGTCTAAATAAAATGTGAAACTTTCAATGTGTTTTCTTCTCGTTTCAGCAATGTCGCAACTCCTCGGGACTATACCTTCGTTTTCTCAGCTTCGAGGAAAGCCGAATGATGACTGGATTGATCGGATGTCACATGTCTATACAACAGTGATCTTGATCATCTTTACGGTTGCAGTCAGTTCCGGTCAATTTTTCAAAGATCCGATACATTGTTGGCATCCGGCAGATTTCAAATCCTCTATGGAATCATACACTACCTATAACTGTTGGGTTAAAAATACATACTATATTCCTATGTATGATGAAATTCCTCCAAATATTACAATTCGTCAAGATGCTGAAATAACATATTATCAATGGGTTCCATTAATTTTACTTTTCATGGCGTTGTTGTTCAAACTTCCGAATGTTGTCTGGAGAATATTTAGTGGTGGATCTGGTCTAAATTTAGATAAAATCGTTTTCCTTGCCGAGCAGTCACAATTAGGATCGCCAGACGATCGAAAAGAGACTATCAAATCAATAGCTGTTTTTATTGATAAATGGTTAGATGCAACTAAAGAAAGAAATTGGAGTGTTTTGAATAGAACCAAACAACAATTCTCGCGCTATCTGTTCTTCTTTTGTAACAAAAAGGCGGGAAGGTATTTAGTAACACTTTATCTGTTTGTTAAGGTCCTGTACGCCTTAAATGCCATCGGCCAATTATTTCTCCTCAACGCTTTCCTCGCTACAAGATTCAATTTTTATGGTTTTGAGTTTTTGGAAAATCTGTACAGCAAAAACCCGTGGAAGGAATCGCCAAGATTTCCTCGGGTGACTCTTTGTGACTTTCAAATTAGGTTGCTGCAGAATGAACTCAGGTACACTGTACAGTGTGTCCTACCTATCAACCTTTTCAATGAGAAAATCTTCATTTTTATTTGGTTTTGGTTGATTTTCATTGCTACTTTGGCAGTTTTTAATCTTTTCGTGTGGTTTTACATTGCTGTACTTAAAGCCGTCAAAATACAGTACTGCAAAAAGTACTTGCAAATTAATAACGAGATTCATACTAGCTTCGATAAAAAGCTTTGCGTCAAGTTTGCAGAATATTATATGCGTGATGATGGCGTATTTATGCTGCGACTTGTCGCAAAGAATTCTACTGAAATGGTGGTCTCCGATCTTGTTAAAGAGCTATGGATAATGTTCAAAAACAAGCAGAATACCAAGAAGAACGACGATGATAAAGAACTGATTCCAGAAGTTAAGACAAACCTTGTATAAAGAATATTTATATTTTAGTTATTTGCATACGAGATACGTTCAGTGCATGCTTGTAACTTATAAGTTATGTTTGTTTTGCTTAATGGGATGTGTACACTGACAACAAGTCGATTACCAGGGAAAATGAAGATGCCAACGACTTGATTCAAGTAGTTAAGGCACAATTTGAATAATGAATATTTATATTTTAGTTATCTGCATACAAGATACGTACAATGCATGCTTGTAACTTGTAAGTTAATTTTGTTTTGCTAAATAGCATAATTATGTACCACAACTAGCAGATTACCAGGAAAAATGAAGATGCCAAAGAATAAACTCACGAAGTTAACTTAAGGCAAATCTTGTATAATGAATATTCATATTTTACTTAATTGCATGCAATAAACGTACAGTGCAATCCAGTTAATTATATGTAAGTTGCAAATTTTGTTTAGCTAAATATCATTTGACTTTTATTAATAATCGTTTTGCCAAATACCGATTCAATTATTACACACTTTAAACACAAGTTGTTTCCCTTTGTCAATTGTAGACTGGTTCTCTAAACTGGACAAAATGGGCTGCTTTCCATGCCAAGCATAAGTTGAAAGTGATATATAGGCGTTTTAGTCAATTTTAACATTATAACTATTGATAATAAAAGTTGTTAGCTAAACAAAAGATTCGATGTACTCAAAATAATAACAGAACAACTATTGATTGTTAAAGTTTAAAGTTTAACAAAAGATTTGAAAAACTTGAATTCTACACGCATCACGAACAAATAAATTTGCTCTTTCCGCTAGCTCTTAATTGTTAATGAAAATGTATGTCCCTCGGAAACAAACTAATAAAATTTATCAATTTCAAATTTAAATATGACACCATCACATAATTAGACAAAGTATGAGTGTCTGGATGGAGGGTTCTTCATTTCTGTATTCTTTTGTTATTTATGCCATGTTTCCCTTTTCTTTATATGCTTTGCCCATTATTCTCCATTTTTTATATTTTAGCACCCCATTATTCTCTATTCTTTATTCTTTTAGTCCGCTTTTTCTCTATTCTTTATCTTTTTCGCCCATTATTCTCTTTTCTGTAAATCACCATTCAGACCCTCATAGTCTGTGTGGTATAGTGGTCTATGCTACCAATGAGTTGATATTCAACAAAAAATGCATGGTAACTTATAAATAAAGATGAATAGTATAGTTTTAAGATACAGATAAGTAATTCTTATTCTGTCAAAAAGTTTTATAAGAAATAGTTATAGTTAACTTTTAGGTTTATATAATCCATTTGTAACGATATGTATTATTTTCTTATCGTAGTTTCTTCTTACTTTTTCATTTGGGTTATTTTCTTTTCTCATCCTTTTTTTAGGACATGTATCGATTTTGTTTTCGTTCACACTATATCTATCATATTGCAAACATTTAGTCTTTCACAAAGAAGCCAACTTTATTAATTCCGTGTCTCCGAAGCCCTTTTCTGGAGTAATTAAAGTTAAACAAAAAATACAAATTAGACGTTGCAAGACTCTATAATTGGCAAGGAAAGAAGCACATCCACTTGTTTTATGGATAGTCGACCTCCAAATGGATAGAAACAAGTGCCTGTGGAAAATGTTGTGGGCAGGCGAAAGAAAATGCAAGAGTAAAAAAAAGAAATGAATCTATTATATTTCGAAAGTCAATTAATATTGGAGTCAATACCACGTACGGGGTTCGAACTTTCAACCTCAGTGTTGACAGGCTGATGATACAATAGTTGAACTACTTAGACCACACTCCCACTGATGCCCATTTGTAACAACCTTGAAGTCTATTAGTTCAGTTTCTTTTCTTTTGTTATGCCCCCGCAACTGAAAGTTGGGGGCATACTGTTTTACCCCTGTCCGTCCGTCCGTCCGTCCCATTGGGTATATAGCTATTCCAGATAACTCCCCCTACAGTTTGAATGCTAGGACGTCTTCACTTTGCTGGCTGTTTGTACATATATTGAAGGTGCATGTGGTCAGGGTTTCGGATTTTTATTAATATTAGCTCTTTTGGGATATAGTTGAACTTTGTCATTTTTTTAGTATATACTTGCATAAGAGGTGCATAGCGTTTCCGGATAACTCCTCCTACAGTGAACCATAGACCTATGTGCTCCCATTTGTGTATTTTAAAATAACACTTTGCATCTGCGAGGGCATCATAATAATATCTCAAAGAAAGTCCTACATTGACTTTGTTATAATACAGTTACTTCAGAGTGGAGTGCGGGGGCATCACTTTGTCTAGTCTAAATAAGGAACCAATGAAGAAAAAAACAGTTCCGAAATTCAGGATATGTCTAGTTATGCGGACATCAATTACGGAAAAGGGTAATCAAAAATAATGCTGCGTTCACACGTAATTTGAATTCGATTCGCATTAACTAATTCGAATTAGTTTAATTCGCATTCGAATCGTTTTACGTCCAAACGTTAATTCTAATTCGAATTACAATACGCGTCAAATTTGCTTTACTGTCCGAACAACGTTAACTTTTAATTCGTACCAACAAAAACGGTTTTCTAATGCGAATTGGTTAATGCGAATTAGCCAATTCGAATCAATTCGAATTAAAAAGGAAGAGTGTGTGAACGCGATTAGCGAATTCGATTCGCATTCGATTCGAATTCAATTCGAATTTAATGTACGTGTGAACTAGGCATTAATAATTGAATTGAGGAAGATTTAAAAAAAAATCAATAACTGAGGAGGAAAATGAAGCGTCATAAATATTATTTTGGTTTCATATTATAAGGGATGTAACTATGATTAAAATCGATTATTTCTATATTTTCTGTTTGACTTACGTCCCTTAGTACACAAAATTTATTTTCTTGCGGTCCTAACTTATAAAAACTATAATAGCCAATTCAATCTTGAACTAATCTCTGAGACTATACAATGTGTTATAATAGTCTCCGAACTAATAGATGATTATCTATCATTCCCAGGTTCAATTCAGAGTAAACGCCAAAAATTGCCTTCTTTGCTTATGAAGGTTTAATATTATAGAAAATTTAGACCCCTTGTATTTGGCATCCACTTTAGGTGAATTAAGTGGGAAAAAAATAAGTTTTGACATTTTATCTGAACTCGAGATATACAATCAGTAAAATACACAAAACAAAGTTTATGTTAAAATAGTTCTATTTTTCAAAATTGGATTGACTAATTACACTATCTAAATCGACAAATTAAATTTAATCTGGGATGTTTTCAAATGAAAAACGTCAACGTCTTCTAGAATAAAAAAAATATTTATTTATTTATTTATATATATATTTTTTTTTCATTTTTTAACCGTTGTTGACGGGCCAAGCCTATCTTTGCCCACTTATTGCGTAACTTCAAATTTGTTTTTAAATCCAACAAAGGGGTTTCAACTTACATTTATTTTCTCTCCGTTTTAAGTTTTATTCAAATAAAAGTCAGCCTTTCGCAAACAATTACACATTCCATTGTTGAAATGGTAAAAGCAATAACCACGTTAAATTACAACATACATAATTATTCATAACAACCTTATCACGTCACATTTAAATGTCAAAAATGGAGAAATTGCCAAAAGGCTCATGAATATTCATTAGAGATAAAGACTGTGACGAGCATATGAAATTTGTCAAATAATTTCCTAATTTTCGAATTTTTCTAGAGCATAATTATACTGTGTCGTTATTGTCCTAATTATTTGGTATTTGTCAAGTAAAATTGACATTGTTACGGTCCCCTGGAGTGGTCACACCTTTATTTTCACCTGTTGATTTGCGCTCAGTGAACCGTGTCATTTGACACCATATCGGAGACACACCAAATCTGTACACATATGCGTGGTTTATAGAAGTACACAAATAATTTCGACGGTAAGTCTGTTTTAGTAGTTATATTTAAGAATATATATGATATTGAAAATTATGAACTTGCTGAATATAGTATTTGAAAAGTATACATGTAGATTTGACAAGGGGGTTTTGTTCAAAACAGTTATAACTGAACGATTCGAAAGTGACAGTCTAGTCCAAATCTGTAACTGCTAAATACATTTTAAACAGTGACAACACAGATAATTCATTAATAAATAACTCAATGCTCCGGGTTACATTTATAATTTATAAATACATCTATAAAAAGTATGTGTAAATGTATAATTACATTAAGTGTTTTTTACCAATCATTTTATTTTATTTATTGAAAATTGGACAATTTACCATCGTAAAACCTGCTTAAACTCCATACTTATGGCGTTTCTTTTCCTGATAAGTTTATGATAGCGATTAAAAATCAAGATAGATGTGCAAAATAGTAAATACCTTGTATTTTACTCTAAAATGCATTGTTTTAGAATCTTTCCAAAATAGCTAGTCAATATGGGCTTTGATACTTTTATGTTTACATGAATGAAGTGTAAATGTATATGCTTTTCCAAATGTTTTCCTCCCAGAATAAACTGTTTTAAACAGCAAAACAAATAAGTTGTTTTGAGATGTGAAATGCGAATCATTGCACTTTGTTCCTTGCCTTTCACTTGTATTATTGTCTCCCCTTGACCGACGATGTTCCCAAAAAAGTGAACGGGGTCTAGTTTGGATAATAATTTTATCCAACACAATTTTATTATAATCCTTTTAATTATAATTTTCATGCAAACTATTTTTACAATAAGTTTAAATTTGTATCTTGAGTTCTATTAGGCTGGTATATATAAAGTTCATTCTTTGAGAACAATACTTTATAGTTACAGAAGATTGTAAGACAGATGCTCAGATTTAGATTAATGTGAGTTGTAAATTAAAAAAAAATGATTTAAGCTGTGATAGTATTTGTTCCTGATTTTATATATATTATTATTGATTTTTATCTTTTGTGATTTGTAAACACTTTTTGTCTTTTCCTCCTCTGTTGTTTTTTAATCTTTTGTTTTTTAATTCCTGAAAAGCATTTGTCTTCTTCTATATTATAATCTTTGGCGTTTAAGCCTCTTAAATAACATTTCATTATAACATATATGTAATCCTCGTAGTCTACGCATTGATAAACTGCTAAATAAGGAATTTACAAACAAAGAGATATAACTGTTAGATAACATTTATCTTTTTTAATTGCCTTGTCTCCGAAATTTCCTTTAACAAAACAATAACTCTGACGCTAATACCTCTTTATTTTTTCATGTAGATAAAATCCATGGAAACGAATTGATAAAAGTAATTTATAATCGTAATAAAGATTACCATATATACTCGATTATTTATACTACAAAATGTAGACGTGTAGTTTTAATAATAGATTTTTGTTTTAATAGTTGTATTTAAAATGTGAAAATTACGTAGTACATGTATTTGACATTTGGAAGACAAGAAGACAAAAATACAGAAAGTTGTTTTTGA